TAGATTTTGTTGGTAAAATTGATTCCCTGTATGGGAAAAATAAAACTGGATTCCTTACTTCACACCTGAATGCAAAAGACAAACTATAAAAGTAATCAAAGAAAACAAACTAAGTATCTTTGTGACTTTAACAACTGTACAGATTTTAAAGCAAGATCTAAAAAGAGCCAGCTATAAGGAGAAAATATGAAGGGTTCAGCTGCATTAAAATCATGATTTCTGCCCAGAAATGGACATAATCTACACACTGAACACTTGTGGACGATGAGAAGATATGTGCAATGTCTAAAACTTGGTTCATGTTGAAATCTAGAGAAACTTCTACAACACAGCAGGAAAAAATCAGGAAACTCAACAGAAAAATGGGTAAAATCTATGAAAAGAAAATTAATAGAAGAGGAAACACTAATGGCTAACAAGTATATGAAGAGATACTCAACTTCATTAGTAATCAGAGAAAAGCAAATTAAACCAACAATGATATGCCACTTTACAACCATCGTATTGGCAAAAATTACAAAGTCAGAAAACATCAAGGGTTAGGGAGAAGTGTAAACTAAGCACCCATAACAAGCAGCAATCTCAGTACTCAGGGCAATTAACTGTTCACCTACTCAACAGTCGCTGTGCCTGGATATATGCCCCAGAGAAACTCTTGCACAAAACCATAAGGATGCATGCGTGAGACTGTTCACCGTAGTTTTCCTTGTGACAGAAAAGACTTTGATGTCCCTGTTCCTTCATCACTAGGGGGAATGGATGAGCAAGTTGTAGCTGATGCATCCGTTGACCCCCTAGGCCACAATCAGAATGTACTGAATTAGATTTACAGACAACAACATGAGGTGATGTCAAAACTACAGTGTTGAGTGGGGAAAAGTGAGGTTTGGGGTAGCCTTTAAACCCAAAGTGGGTTTTACCACTTATGTAAATGAGTCAAAGTCAACTCTATGTATTTTATCAATTATATACATATATCTAAGTTAACATATGAAAGGAGAACTGGAGAAATCCCCATTCTACATATTAGGAGAAATGCCTGTAGTGTGGGAGAAGTGAAAGGAAGAACAGGTGATTGAGGAGAACATAACAGAAGGAAATAAAATCATGGAGAACTTGCTCTTACCAGCGAATCTGAATATATCTACTCTGTGTCCCAGACGTACCAACCTTGCTCACCAAAAATGAGCACTGTCTCGTTCAATCCTGACAAAAATACCACGAATGTAAGTATTAATGTTTGTCCTATTTTTGTTGTGAAAACAGAGAGGGTAGGCAACTTTTCCAAGGCCACGGAGCAAGTAAGTGGAAGGTCAGGGACCTGAAATGGGCCATGTGCCTCCAGATCCTCACACTCAGCATCACCATGTACCACTTGTGTTCAGAGAACTCCAGTGAAGTTCCATGGAGTAGCGCATGGCAAAGTACAAGTCTATTACATCACTTCACTTGCATCTGAGTTTCCTTAGTTTCTAAGATGTCCACTGATACAGGCTGATTTTTCTTGGACTAGCAACACATGACCAAGCAAAACAACAACTTCAGCTCAACAATATTTCAGGGCTTCTCACAAAAAACAAACCCTAAACAAAAACTGTTTCTTGAGGCCCATCTTTCTGCATGATGCAGCAACTTGTACTGCAGACCATCTTTTCCCAAATAAGTTGCATAAGATTTTCAGTGTCAAGTGTACAGTTATATAAGAATCAAAATCTATATAAACTCAATACACCATTTTGCTTCACCTTAACGAAAGCTCCCAATAGCAAATTTGGTTTCTGAAATTATATTATAGCAAAAAACGCAGTCTTGAAAGTCCCAGAGAACCAAGTATTGGTAGCCTTAGATAATGCCTGGCACATTATCTGTGCTTGTTAAATGTTAAGTGAATGGGTAAAATTGATGGTTACGTGGGTGGAGGATGGATGGGTGGATGCATGTGTGGGTGGGTGGATGGATGGATGGGTGGGTAGATGGATGAATGGATAAATGGATGGGTGGTTGGTGGGCGGATGGATGGATGAGTGGATAGATGCATGGATGGGTGGGTGGATGGATGGGTGGTGGGTAAATGAGTGGACAAATTATATGCATTCTTGGCTCTAAGGCAGGTATTTTTAACTAATGACATAACCTACATGTTTCCATGAGTACATCAGGCTGACAACAGTACTTCACCCCCTCCCCCAAAATGCCCTTGAAAGTTTTAGTGCTATTTCCAGCTGCTATTTTCTTTTAACTTTCATGAAACTCATTAATCTGCCAACGACTACTGCAAAAGTACAGGCAGCCCTGGAGGATGACAGCAGTGTGACTTAGTTCAAAAGCCAGCCTAGGGACCCCGAAGACTTTGGAAATTGCTTCTTGTTCTTTCTTCCCTTGCATTTTTTGCCTAGTCTTAGTGTTGGGAGAAAAGAGAAGAAAACTCATCATTAGCTTAACAGAATGTCAGCGCTTTCAAACAGAGAGAGCTACATCAGACCCTGGGCTCAGCTCTCATGTTCTCAGATGCCCTGAGAAATGTGTTTCCTTGAGGTGCCCTTTAGAGCTGTCGGTTCCATCTAACAGAGTCCCAGTCTCTGCCTCTAAATATCTAACTTGCTGCCCCTCTCCACACATTGAGCTTGTCTGCCTACCACTGCAGTGCCCCTCACACTGGCGAAGTCACCAGAATTCCATTATCAAATGTGCCCATGATATAGACCAGGGCTCAAGAGACCAGAGACTAAGAGGTGAAAAATTACAATTCGGGTTCCTAAAACAATCATTTCGGTTTCCATAAAAGATTTCCCCACCGGAGCCATTTTCACTTGAGCTTTGTCCAGCACCATTAAGCAGTGTTCTGCCTGCTCACAAGCTATAAGGAGCTCAAGAGCAGATTCAGTAACATACATGCAGCTCTCTTTCATAAAACGTCCGCGCCGCTTTCTGCATGGTAATCCACCCCAACAGAGCCTTCATTAACCTATCTACACTGGATGAATGAACACCCCAAAGAGCCCTCTCTGTAGCTTATAGAATATCTTTCTCAACTCTCAGTTGAAGGGGGACATTTCAGGATTATAGGATTATATTTTGTGAATGCTAGTTCCTGGCCCTGGGTAAGTCCCTTAACCATCCTTAAGCCTAAATTTGCTCATGTGTAAAATGGAAAGAAAAATACTCCAGAGTATTTGCAAAGATTTCTTCATTCAGTCTACAGTTTTTGAGAACCTACGACTCTAGAGTGAGGGAGTACTGGGGTCCAAAGATAACAAATGCGTGCTGAGAAGTTAGGGAGTTCAAAGGCGAGCAAAAGGCACAAGCCAATAACTACGATGTAGTAAGTGCTGTTGTAGGAAGTAAGAAAACTGGATTTGGAGTCATTCAGTCCTAGGTTGAAATCTTGTTTCCACCACTTCCTCATTACATGACACTGGGAAATTATTTAAATTTTCTCAGCCTTATGTGATGCATGGAGATAATGGTGCCTCTCTCCTGATTCTATAAGGATTAAATTAGCTATTCCTGGAGAAAACACTTAGCATAGTGTCAAGGCCATAAAAAGTATTAAATAGATGAATACATTAAGTGTCGCAGGAAACTTTCACAAGATGAGTGCACATGAATGTGTCAAGCGTGGTGTCTGATATGCAGAAGGTACTTTACAAACGTTAGCCTGTATCACTATCTACGTCAACTCTCCCACACAAATAAGGTCATTGCTTAATTTGAGCACGGCAAGAAAAGAACTAGAAATGGACCCAAGATCTTAGAGATGGGAAGCTGAGAGAAGATACCGGTGGCCGGCAGCCAGGAGATCTCATTCTGAATTTTCTAGGGCACAGATAAGTACAACCACATTCACAAGGAACTACTGAGCCCCTGGGGTAGGGCAGGGGGAGGACAAGGCAAGGCAGAAGGAAATCCCATATCCACAGAGTATGAATATGGGACGACCATGAGTAATTCTACCAATGACGATTCTTGGAAAGATAGGAGATATGCTGGGCCGAGACCCTCTGATGGGCTCTGGCCTGGAGCATTTTCCAGCAGCATGCCCTTGTCTGAAAACAGTCCATTATGTAGTGGTGACCACTGAGAACACAAGAGAAAATAGGACTGATCTATTATTACAGACGTGGGTAATGCTGTTGTTGGACAGGCTCTCCCACGTAGGAGACTTTATTGAAAGCTATAAAACACAAGTGTTTAGGGCTCTTTTGGAGGCCAGTGGCCAACAAAACAGACTTAAGCAAAAGATTAAAATTGATTAGCTTGCCTAATTGATGAGTAAAACTTCAGGCATGATTAGACTCAAGAATTCAAGTGACCTCATCAGGAATCTGTCTTCCTCCATTCCTCGGCTGCCTTTCTCTGTTTTCTCTTCCTTCGAGAGTACCTGGAGAGGAAAGATAACCATAAGCAGGTTTATATTTCCTTTAAGAATTCCAAACAAGAAAGTTCTCATTTCCGGTAGTTGCAGTACAAGTCCCAGGATTCTCACTGGCTCTGATTGGTCCACTTTGAGCAAGGCTGTTTTGATTGGCCAGGTCTGGGTCATAGGCCACCCCTGGCACTAGGAATAGAGCTAGCCTATGTGAGCCACCTGCCCTCAAAGGAAAACAGAGATGTTATTACTACAAGGGTCATGAATCTGTACACGTGTAAAAACTCCGGGTATCGACCGCATTTTCCTGCTATTCTTTTTCTAGGCATCCATAGAACAGCTGCGAATATAGGCAGAAGTTAACCAATCTCCAAAGATGTCAGCAGGGGTAAATAGACAAACAGACTCAGAAATGTCATCACGGCAGTTAATTGTGTGAAATTTATCACCCTGATTGATCACACAGCTTTTAACTTTAAGAATACCAAGCGTGCAAATTGTTGTTGTTGTTTTTTGTTTGACGACTGTGAGGCAAGGTTTACCAAAACTAGCAGATATGACTGTGACTCACAAAATGAAAAAAGTAAACAAGAAACACAATTTGATATTATTTAATAAAAGATTTGTTTCCACCACTTCTCCTGGGAACTTCGGCACATTTTCTTTTCAGAGACAGTTATTATCTCTACCTTTATTGAACAAAGGCACCGGAACACAGCTGCTGAAGATCTGTAAAGAAAATCATTCTTTTATTAATAAGACTGTTATTAGCAGGGGGAAAAAATCCATGTTTGGGGGTTTGCACTGAAGTTACAGGCCATTTCAAAGAAATATGGCTGACTACTACCAACATTATTTCAGGCAATTTCATGATCAAATGTCCTATTAGGTTGTTTAAAATTTTTATAGAGATTGTAAATCAGAACTATTTTCTATTTGCCCTAAATATTTAGGTGCTACAGGGAAAGCAGATCAAATTAAAGGGTATTGTGCACATTTTTTACTGGGGTCTCCCAGGGATATAAATCACTCCACTTGCAGTGTGGAGTTCTTCAGTAAACATGTTGTGAGAACAACATTCGATGCTCCTCCATGTTCTCATTAAAAGGATGATCTGGGTAACAACAGCAGTACCAGGTTCTTCCCATTTTCAAAATTTTTTGCCAAGATTCAAAGGAAACTACCCACATTCTCCCCAGAGATCCTATAGGACTAAGTTTTGAACTACTTTATTCCATTGGTTCACCCATGAACAATACCATGGGACAAGAATCAGAAGAAGAGAGGGGGAACAGACAGAGATCTGTAGACATGCTGGAAGAAACCATTCTATCTTTTTAGAAACAGAGAGTCAATATCTATCAAATGTTAAGATGCATATCCCTTGATCTAGCAATTTCTGCTTGGAGATTTAACCTACAGATATCCTCACACATGTGCATACAGATAGACGTCCCGGGGTACTTAATGCAGCCTTGGTTATGGTAGCAAAAGATTGGATATACTCCAAATGTCTTTCAATATGGCTCTGATTAAATAAATTACAGCACAGCCTCACAGTGGAAAACAATGTAGCCATTAAACACGATGAAATGGGCCTCACTGAACTGAAATGGCACTACCTCTAAGATACATTATTAAATAGAAGAAAAGGGGGGAGATAAGAGGAACAAGTGTAGTGGAATGTGAATTTGTATTAAAAAAGTTTTTTAACATTTATTCATTTTTGAGAGATGGAGGGAGACAGAGCATGAGCAAGGGAGGGGCAGAGAGGGAGGGAGACACAGAGTCCAAAGCAGGCTCCAGGCTCTGAGCTGTCAGCACAGAGCCCGATGCAGGCCTTGAACTCACAGACTGGGAGATCATGACCTGAACCGAAGTTCAATGTTTAACTGACTGAGCCACCCAGGTATCCCACAGTTTGCATTTTTTAATGTAAGAAAATAATTGGTTCCATATGTTAACACTACAAAATTAAAATAAAAACTTAATAAACAACCCAAAATATTTGTTTCTGCACACACAGAATATCTCCAAAAAGAAACCCAGGATTTGCCTCTTTGGAAGGGCCAGACTTATGTTCACTGTTATATCTTTCAGTACTCCTTTTTGAAGTTTTTACCATGTATGCATACATAATTTTCAAGTAAAAATTTAGACAAGTGGCTCTCAGTTGGTTAAGCATCTGACTTTGGCTCAGGTCATGATCTCACTGCTCGGAAGTTCGAGCCCTGCATCGGGCTCTGTGCTGACATCTTGCAGCTTGGAGCCTGGAACTGCTTCGGATTCTGTGTCTGTCTCTCTGCTCCTCCGCTGCTCAAGCTCTGTCTGACTGTCTGTCTCTCTCCAATATAAATAAATATTTAAAAAAATTTTTTTAAATAGATGAAAAAGATAATGGTGCTTTGCAATAAATCTAACAAGAAATAGAAAAGATTTCTTGAAAAAAATTAGCCAAAGTATTCAGATATACATGAGATTTCTGGAAAAAAATGGAGAAGTACCTCATTTCTTTGGATGGTATGAAAGACTGCCTTACTGTTTCCAACCTTTCATTCCATAACAAAATTAAACATCCTTGTACCTTCAAAATTTTCTTACTTAGGTAGAGTGTTCTTTCTGACCCATGGAGATCAGTCTTGGTCATGTGACTTCCTATGGCCAGTAGTGTGAGTGAATGTAATAGAAGTAGAGGCTTTAAATGTGACTCTGTGACTCTGCTTGATCTCTTGGACTTCTGTCATATGCCATGAGAAGATCAAACCCTGGGCAGCCAATGGTCCAAGATGAGGAGATACATACAACAGACCTGGGTCTGGAATCAAGCAAGCTAATCCAACAGAGCCCAGCAGAATCACAGGCTACATGCAGACCTGTGAGAAAAATCATTTTCGCTGTAAGCAAAGATTTGGGGGTATGTATGTTACACAGTTCTATCACAGCCACATCTGATTGATACAGATGGGAAGATTTGGCTCTCTCCCACCTCCTCTAGGAAATTGTTCCCAATTCTCCCTACCCCCATACTAGACCGTGATATCTTCACAGTCACAGACAGATCCTTCATGACAGAAACCATGTGTTATTAATTCCTGTGTCCCTAGGCTTCTGCACAATGCCTGGCACAGAATTCTAAAAATTAAAAAAAAGAAATCTTTTTTTTTAACCCACTCTGAAGTACTTGCCTCCATCCAACAGTTAGTCTCCATCATATCACAGAGACCATTAATAACAACCTGTAATTAGCCTGTTGCTTTGTTATCTCATCTTTCTCACTGGAACATTAACTCCCGAGAATAAATGAATCAATGAATTCCTTACCCTGATTTTTATAAGGCTTCAGACCTTATAAATCTGTTTTACTACATTCTCCAAACTTCTTAGCTACCCTTTAAGGCCTTGCAAAACTGTTCCCAGCCCTATCACCTATTGTTTCCCTTAAAACAGTCTTTTCCCCACCCACACTTTTTCTTTTTCTACAACATTACCAATGATATTCCCTCAACAAGTTCCCTCTGGTATGAGTACTCTTCTCCACCATCCCTGCTTACCTAAATCTTGACCATTTGTATTATTTTGGATTAGGTTCAGCTGTGATTTCGCTGTAAAACTCAAAACACCAGTGGCCTAAAAAAATAAATGTTTATCTCTTTTGGTTAATAAATTTAGAAGTGCTCAGAATAGGATTGGAAAGGTAATCTACGGTTTCAGAGGAACAAGGTCCTCCTAGGTTATTGTTCTGCCATGGGTTCCTTCCATTCCTAAACTCCCTTCCTGACCCAGAATGGCTGCTGGAGCTCCAGCTATTACATTCTCATTCTAGTCATTAGGGAGCAAGAAAGATGGTAGAAGAGCATGCTTCCTCCCAATAAAGAAATCCGCTCCCCCAGCCCAGGAATCATACACAACATAGTCACTTACACGTCATCCAACAAAACTTAGTTATCCAGATACACCTAGCTGCATGAGAAATTGTGTTAGGTTTGATATATCACAAACTACCATCTCATAACACTGTAGCTTAAAACAATAAGCACCTATCCAGCACATGATTCTATGGGTTGGTAATTTGGGCTCGGCTCAGCTAGGCAGTTTTTGTGGCCTTGGGTGCATCTACTCATGTATTTAGCTGTCTAGTGGGCTGGTCTAGGATGACCTTGGCTAAAAAGTCTGTCCCTGCTCCTATCCTCCCGAAGGCTAACTCTGGCTTGGTCACCTGATGGTTGGGCAGGAGTCCATGAGGTTGAGTGGAGGTATGCAAGGCCTCTGGTGGCCTAGGCTTGGGATTGGTGCAATGTCACTTCCATTGCATTGTATTGGACAAAGAACATCACAAGTCTGGTCTGGATTCAAGAGTAGGGGGGAAAACTCCATCAGCAAACAGGAAGAGCTACAAAGTCACTCTGCAAAAGGATGTGTATACAGGAATGGGAATAACTGAGGTGAATGTTGCAAGAAATATTCCAAAGAAGTATAGTCTTTCTTGGGGGTGAGGGGGATGACTAGCTAAAAATTAGGTATTCTATTATGGAAGCAGAAGGGAATGGCTATTGGGGAACAGCCTGCATTCTCGATGACACCAACTTTCAAAGCCCAGTTCCAAATGCACTTCTTCCTCCTGGAAGCCTTCCTTGAACCACTGAGCTAGAATTCTGGCCACCAAAGACTATCACCTGTAATTTTTATGACCCTTTCATAACTACCCATGGAGGGATGTTGGCCCCTCAGTATCACTGCAGGGTGATAGAAGGTGAGCCCTTAACCATCCTCTGAAGCCACCATGAGCTTGGACACCATCTTTGCCGAGATCCTAACATTCCTGTTGAAACAAGTACCTTTATTATTTGAAAGTAATAAATCTTTTGTTTAAATGGCAGGAGAATAAATATGTTACTCTTGTTTTCAGCAAACCCACAAGAGGAACAAAGAATCCACGTGACCCAAGGATAACAGGTCAAATACTAAAATCTAGAAGGAATCCCTTAGCACCCAGAACATAAACAGATATACACACTACTCATCAGAAAAGGTGTTGGAACTAGTCCATGGGTACACTGGCATTTTCTTTCTCCCTCTGTAATTCTTTTTCCTCTCTTGATGACTGGAATACAAATCAGTAGCCTAGAGTCCTTCTGGTTAACAAGGTTCTCATTTGGGAGGTTGCAGCCTAGGAGGCTATTAAAAAGAGAAAGAAAAGCTTCTTCTATAAACACTTCCTGCCAGCTGTGGAGGGCTGGAGAGGAGGGAAGGGCACCAGGGTGACGACGCAGAACAGGACCATTAGGGGAAGAAAATCTGAAAAGCAGAGTAAGAATTCTTGGTACAAGTCTCTGCCAGATGATCCAGGAATAGGCGTCTAAGACACAAAGAGAAACCCCCGTGGGCAAGACAGACAAGAGAAAAAGAGGCTTCCACTGATCCAAATGGGCCACTGCTGTCCAAAACACAGCAGAAATCCCTGAAGGCGCCTGTAGAATGTTTTAGAGTCAATACTGGGGCTTTAGAAGCTAGAGGAGGGGGGGTCCCCATGCCTCAGCATCCTCCACCGACTCCTCCAAGAATGATAATGAGAACTTGCATTTGCTGGGCTATCACCGTGTGCCAGCACCACAATAAGCATCTTATGTGCATTAATTATCTCCACAAAGTTCGCCACAATGCCATCATGCTGGAGCTGTGATTCCTGCCATTTTATCCACAGGCCTGGTGATGCTCATAAGTTGCCCAAG